AAACCCTAAACCCTAAACCCTAAACCCTTTTAACCTTCTAAACCCTAAACCCTAAACCCTCTTAATCCTCTAAGCCCTAAACCCTAAAATGAGAGTCACAGGGCTCCAAACACTTACTATCAGGTAAGGCCTAAACCCTGAACCCTAGAGCAAGAACTCTGGCCCTGGTAAACCCTCAACCCTAAACCCTGCAGACATTAAATCCCAAACCCTAAACCCTAAACCCTAGAACAGAGGCTGTGGAGCTCCGAACAACCTGCACGCATCTCCAGACCTTCAGGTTTTTACATGAAACAAAACCAAACCCTAAACCCTAAGTCCTAAACTCTGTATCCTAAACCCTAAACCCTAAACCCTAAGTTCTAGAAGCCGAGCAGCCGGTTGCAGTGCCAAGAGCCCTACGCGCCGGCCAGCGCAAGTCGCGTTGCTGACAACAACTGCTGCTGCTGCTGCTGCTGCTGCTGCTGCTGCAGGCTGCAGGCGGGAGAAGGAGCAGCAGGGAGAGACGCAGCAGCAAGCAGCAGCAGCAAAACGGAAGCAAAAGAAACACCTGCGGAGACACCCCACGATGAGCCTTCCTTAACCCCACAAGTTAGCACCCCACCAGAGTCCGACTAAGTCCTGCTGCTGCTGCTGCTGCTGCTGCTGCTGCAGTAGCTGCAGCAGCGGGAGCAGCACTTGCTGCTGCCGCTGCTGCTGCTCTAGGGGCAGCAGCTGCGCGGGCAGCACTTACTGCTGCTGCTCTAGGAGCAGCAGCAGCGTGAGCAGCACTCGCTGCTGCAGCAACAGTTGCTGCTGCTGCAGCAGCAGCAGAAGCGCGCGCGGCACCACGTGCTGCTGCTGCTGCTGCTGCGCGGGCACAGCAAATACCGCCGCTGCTCTTGCTCAACCGGGGGTTGAGCTGGCAGCAGCAACAGCAGCTGCTGCTGCTGCTGAAAAAATTCGCCGCGTCAGCAGCTGCTGCTGCTGTTTTTTTGCTGCTGCTGCTGCTGCTGCATATGGAGTCCTCAGCAGCAGCTGCCTGCCGCTGCAGTGTTTAGACACCTCGGCTGGAGAGCAACAAACCCTCGACTTTATGCCTGCTTGTCAGCTAGGGTTTAGGGTTTAGAGTTTAGGGTTTGGAGGTCAGTGCCTCCGTCGCCGCTCCTGCATCACCTGCTGCAGCAGCTGCTGCCCAAGAGCTTCGTCTAGCTGCTGCTGCTGCTGCTGCTCCTCTTCCTGCTGCTGCTCGTTTGTTTCCATGGAGTGCAGCAACGTGAAGAGGCCTGCAGCAACGCCCAAGGGTTTAGGGTTTAGGGTTTAGGGTTTACGCGCTGCTGCAGGGTTGCAGCGCGGCTGCGCTGCAGCTAGCGGGGGACCTTTAACTGCTCCTAGGGTTTAGGGTTTAGGGTTTAGGGTTTGTTACTGGCGGCTTGGTCAAGGTCACACAGAGACAGCCGCAGCACAGGGGCTCTCCGCAGCTGCAGCGCAGCAGCAACTTCTCGCCGCAGCTGCCCCACCTTCCGCTCCACTGCAGCAAACATCTGCAGCAGCAGCAGCAGCAGCAGCAACAGCAGCAGCAGCAGTAGCAGTATATTTAGAAGCAGGGAGGGCGGAAGCAGCAGCGACAGAAACTGGACCTCTGGAGCTAGGCGCGGACGTTCACCAGCAGCAGCAGCAGCAGCAGCAGCAGCATCAGCAGCAGCAGCAACAGCAGCAGCAGTTAGGGTTTACGGTTTAGGGTCTAGGGTTTACGTGCTGCTGCTCCGCTGGGTCCCCGTCTATGGCCAGCTGCACTTCAGCTATTTCGAGGCCTCGGTTCAGGTGTACAGACACCACATCAATGCTGCAGGCAGCAGCAGCAGCAGCAGCAGCAGCTTCATCTGCTGCTGCTACTTCATCTGCTGCTGCCGCTTCTGCTGCTGCTGCTTCTGCTGCTGCTGCTGATGGCCACAGCGACTCTTTTGAGCTGTACGACCCGAAGCGGCTGGCAGGCAAGAACTTGTGAGCTGCAGCAGCAGCAGCAGCAACAGCAGAAGCAGCAGCAGCAACAACAACAGCAGCAGCAGCAGCAGCATTGGTGCTGCCATCGTGAGTTGTAGCAGCATATGCTGCGCTGCGCTGCTTGATTGTTTAGGGTTTAAGGTTTAGGGTTTAGGGTTTGTGTATTTCGATCCAAAGCACGACTGGACGCCCGCGTCTAAACAGCGAGGGTTTAGGGTTTAGGGTTTAGGGTTTAGGGTTTACCGTTTCTGGACAAGAATCTCTGCAGAATAATCTTAATAGACTCTTGCAAACGGCCAGCTCTTATTTGCTGCCGCTTTGCTGTCGCGTACCAGCGGCTGCTGCTGCTGCTTCTGCTTCTGCTGCTGCTGCGGTTGTTGTTGCTGCTGCTGCTGCTGCGGCCGTTGCTGCTGCGCGGCCTGCTGCTGTCGCTGCGGGGCCTGATGCTGTGGCTGACGGTGGGTTCGCTGCTCGTGGTGCTGCTGCTGCTGCTGCTGCTGCCGCTGCTGCTGCTGCTACTCACACGAGCGAAGTCCCCTCTCCTGCTGCTGCTGCTGGAGCAGCTCCGCAGTAGAAAGGCAGTCTGCATTCCCTGCTGCTGCTGCTGCTGCTGGTGTTGCTGTTGCTGTTGCTGTTGCTGCTGCTGCTGTTGACTTTTGAGCGTAACTGAGCCAGGGCAGGCGTTCCTGCTGCTGCAGTAAGGCTGCAGCTGGGCCTTTGGCTCAGAAGTTGCTGCTGCTGCTGCTGCTGCTGCTGCTGAGTGGACACGCACTGCTGCAGGGACGGTTGCGGTGGCGCTCGTCGGCAGCAGCAACAGCGGCAGCAGCAG